CTCTACCCAACATATTTCTTTCATACAAACCTCAGTCGCATGTGTAGTACAAATTATATGCAGTCAAGTGACTAACCATCGAACTTATAATGTGGTGACCTTAACATTCTCAAGGACACACTGTACTATTTAAACCTCAATCCTTCCGTTCCTCTGAAACCATACAGGTTATTCCCATAGGACAATTCCTACGTTTGAGACCTCTGTGTTCTGACAACGCTGAGTTCACTTGTAAAGCTGACGACATGACTAGTTATTTTAAATAACATAACTGTCCTAATAACTAAACTTGGTATATTCAGTTTATCACAAGCTGACTGTCTCCACTGTAGTGACAAATCACATGCTGACAGAGTTCCATTAGTTCTTACGTACCATCCATTAATTAGATAGGATAGCAGAACCATTCAACATAACTTTACATTACTAACAAGCAAGGGATAAACAGGGGTCTGGCCCCCCATACCTCTATGCATATAGACTCAATAATTTTGATAAGCGTAATGATGTTTATTTTTATACATTTGATGCATGTACGTGTGTTGATATGGTTTATAAATGTATGTATTGTTGCGTCAACGAGATCACGTGACTAGTATCATGCCACCCGTTTTCTAGAACTATCCTGTTCCTTCGGGAGTGCTCTAGCATTTGCTAGATTGGGGGTGGTCTGGTATATATAAGATGGTCACGGCGTGACGTGACAATGTGTGTAGGTAATGAGTAATTGAATGTATGCGGACAAAATATTGTTGGCCACGTAATTTCAACAGTCGCGCTATAACAAGTGTATCGTAAAGTTGTATTCGGAAAGAATAAACCAGTTTTATTACGAAAGGACTTGTGTCGCTAAAGTTTCGTCAGAACGAAGTTACGGAAAATTAATTAACTAACGACTGGAGGCGTAACAGTATATAATACACGTATGGAAAGGGGTGTTCGGCCGAAACCCCTAGTTTTGTGATGTAAAAGCACTCCCTAAGAATAAAACATGCTCACAATTTATTTCAGTAATACATACACGTACGTATATGACATCCAATGACTGAAATAGCTAATATACTACTGTTGAACAGTTGTTTAAATTAGTAATATAATTTAACAATTAACAACTACTCTGCTTGTAGATAGTACAATAATTTGCGGGCATGCCACCAGACTCCCCCACCCCAGCATTAACATACCGATTGTGCATGCACAGTATGTGTTGGCTTTTGATCTCACGAATTAGAACCACCTTTCAAACATTCTGTGTAGGATGACCGTATTCCCAAAATCTGTCACCTACCATGCATATTGTTTCTCTGATATAGATTTGTTTACAGGAGATTCACTGTAGTATATAGGTGAATTAACTTTTAAGGTAATTGCAGTATAAAAAAACAATTGCGGAGTCGGTGATATAACATAAAGCAAGTCGTTTATCCATACGGTCGAGTTTTGTTAGTTTGTGCAGATGAAGTCACTTCAGTTTACGATTTATAATGTATTAAACAGCATTTTAAATTACATTTGCATTTGAAAGAAGTTAAGGATGAGACAATAATTATTTGAGTCAGAAGGGCCATGCACAGTAATTTACATTTAACCGCTATTTGAGAAGGTACGTTAAAAGAAACATACACACATAAGTATATATAGGACCTATGTGGTAATTTTATACATTTTCAATTCAAACGAACGTTGGTTATTTTATATTATTTCACATGATGTAGTTAAATCTAATTTGTATATACAACAGTAATTTCATACTGCTTTACATACCTGAAATCATATTTGCTTAATTTGTTTAGTAGTTTTTCTCCCAAATATATTTTAGCACTCATAAAAACGGGGAATAATTTTTAAAATTTAAAGATTTTACAAAAACTGCTATCTTTGTTTAAAAGGCTTTCTATTTTCCAGCTTAATCCAGATACAAGTACTTTTTAATATACTTTAATCACTTACATTAAAAATACAGTAAGTTTACAGACCCTCATCCCAATTTATTTGACAGTAAGGTACAAGGTATGACACATAGAAAATAAAAGTACAACAACAGAAAGTAAATTTAACATATTTATTTTCAAAATGACTGTAGTCCAAACATCAGTGAGAAATGATAAAGCATTGTAGCTATTTACTGACCTTAAGTACAATTGTTTCTTATTTTTTTTTATATATATCTATTGTTTAGGATAAACTCAAGTATTTATATTAAAAAGAAAAATCATTTTTAACATAGTTTTGAATTTTTTTTTACTGCATCTAAAATAAGTATTAAATAGTAAATATTATAATCATACAAAATACTGCAAAAAACAAATACACTAATTAATCAACTATTAAGAACTGTTCTTTCTTAAATCTTGCAAACCTCAACTCCCCAACCATTCTTTCCTTCTTGACCAAAACAAAACCCATAAATCATCTAAATTTTTATGCATGGTTTAGGTTAGATTCTAATACTTTAATTTCTATAAATAAAAAAAAACTAAGATAGTGTGCAGAAAATAGTTTTATCTTTTTTAATTGGTAAAGTAAGACTAGACTGGTGATGAATTAAGTTATTAAATTATATAAAAGTTCACACCTACAAGTTTATTGTCTGGAGATGCTTAAATTGGTAATGCTCAAATACTTGGAATATACATTTAAATAAATATTGGCATTATAAGCATTTTAATAGCACCACAAATATGTAACAGCAAAATCAAGACACATGAATAAGCCTACATATATTTTTTGGTGAATCTGTTTACATATTTCAATTACTTCTTCTATAAATTAGTGCTAAGATATGTGTAAAAAATAGTTTTAAAAATGTGGATCATAAAAGAATTATTACTAAAAATTGCAACATGAATAGAGGCACCTCATTTACAAAATCTTCCAATTAAAGCGGACCAAACGTGTTCCATTCTTATCAAACCATTACAGAAATAGGCACTACTAGAAATTATACAGTGAATTAGGTGACACGAGAGACCTTATTTTAAAACTATAACTAAAATACGTTTAATAACAGACATGGTATAAAATGTACTTTATGAGAAGGATGTACAGAACAAGATGCAACTTCATGGTAAAGAACAAAGTTAAAAGAAATTATGAGATCAACACTTTCAAATTACTGACTTTTTATACCTTTCACTACTGACAACATCTGCATATTTTATTATATTGAGTAATTTTAATTTTTTTGCCTGCACGGAATCAGCATGTAGTTCAGCCCCCTAATTAGTGCTTAGATCCTCTATGTATTATGTATAAAAAATGAATGATTTCATCCAATATTTTTAGCCAGTTCTTCAGTACTTCCGTTTACATTTTTTTGTGCGACTCTTGTTATTAGGGACCTTGTTACTAATAACGTCATGGACTCATAAGCAATTTGGTGCATAAATATGTTTATGTTGACCTTATTAGTAATTCTAGAGTTAAACATAAGTTTCATACTTATTTGTAAATGGGATATTTTTTTATATTGTTAGACACAGCAGATATAAATCATATTTACAAAATATGTCATTTACTTAAATTTATTTAAAGAAGTATTTTTAAAAGTACACTATTTGCTTTTATATGATATCACATATAATGAATTAATAGTCAGTAGCCACTACACGATCTCTTATGGAAGCAGTAAAATTAATTTTTGGGGGATTAAAACATAAATTAATAGTGCCAATGTTCCTTTCCACAATTTTCACAGTTCATGTTTCAAAATACTTTGACACCTTCTAAGCTACAGTATACTATGATCAGATTCCTCAGATACAGTTTCAGATAAATAAGGCTTTTTAGGTTAACACCTAAATTGGATCCAGACACAAACTCCTAACTCAAATATTTCATTAAAAAAATTAGTCAATATATAAAGAGATTACAAAATATACTCATTTACAGTTGATTAAAAATTAGTTCAAAGCCATTACAAGGTAAATACATAAAAAATAAAAAAACGTATGCTCATTCTCAGCAAAAATCACATATAGAATGATTGGAACTTGAAAACGGAAATACACGAAAATACCAGAAAACACTCATGCCAACATCTCCACGACTAGAAAATACGAGATCACAGTATGCTTGTTCTGTGCCAGTTTTTTAATATTTTTTTTTTATATGACACTAGAATTGTATAGAGTGGAATAAATAATAAAGTTCATGAATGATTCTATACTGTAAACCTTCAATGGGAGGTGCAGATATGCATATCTTTCCTTAAACTATTCTTTAATAAATAGCAAACAAACAAGACACAATGACGAAAAAAAAAGTACATATCAAACAAAGTGGATTTTATAAAGATGCATAGTTAACATTAATATCACATATTTTTCAATGAAAATTAAGGTACATAGTTTATAACCAATTCCTATGAATTTTGTTTCTTGCATCACCACAAGATTACATAGTTTCCTTATGGTGAACTCCTGTAATAGTATAATCTGTTGCGCTGCTTACTATCTATATTTCTGATCTTATCTACTTTCTGTTTAAGTATATAAAACATAATACATTAAGTATCTCCCCAAACTTTATGTTCTTGAAGTAAAGCCTACATTATTCACATATTACACTCAAAAAATGCATCTACCAACAAAAAAATTGACAACATGGTACCAATTTTTTAAATTGGTGTAAAAGCTTTAGCTATTTAATTAAAGATTTTTAAGTGTCCCTCTCAACTTCTGTAACTAGAGCCTTAAACTATTCGTCTATTTATGCCACTTCTTGAAGTTGTCAAACTACTGATAAATGTTTACCTTACATTATACTCTGTAAAGGTAATACACACTATACTGAAAAAAAAAACTGCTCCTATAACAGCACCAACTTTTTCTCAAGTAATAATAACATGCTATTAAGTAATTATTTTGTTTTGATACAACACTGATTGACATGTGTCAATGCTTGTGAAATTATTATTGACCACATAAACAATTTAGTGTTCACAATAATAAAATAAAATTCTAAAGACCACCAGCATTTGCCAGTAATCAAGTCATACATGTATATTACTGACCCAATGTTAATAGTGCTTTTATAATGAAAAAACTCAATCTTTTAACGGATACAAGTATACATTTATTTAATGAGACATTTATCCAATAAACTTAATACTAAAATAAAATAGTATACTTAACGATGCTGCTTTAGGACTACGTTTTAGCTACCTTCTACTTTCCTTTTATAAGTTACACCACAAAAAAAAAGGTTCTCATTAGCATGTTAAAAGAAGTACTATGATAATACCATCTTTCAGATTTATTATGTAGTCTTTAACTTTGTTGATGTTTTCTGCAACACAATCAAGCAAAATCAAGGTATCAAGCACAAAAGCTTAAAACAGAATCAAATTACTTAATACTCCAAGTTCTTATGGCAGTATAGAGCACCATAACCTGCACATTTTAGTGTTATTCAGTGTCTAACATGTTTAATGTCAACACACGTGTAAAATGCCAGCACTTGTGCTACAAAAAAATTCTTCTAGGTTGTAAATTATTACCACACTGTTGAAATTTGTGTACGGTACACTTTATAAGCAAAATGGGAAAAAAACTGTTTGTGCCCTTGCACTTCATAGATGTTACAAATCTTCAGCAAAATAGAAAATATTTGTTAATGCAGTTTCACTTTGTTGGTGGTATAATTCTTTAACAAAACATGAAATATATATTTCCATTTGTTGGCTTATTGTGTACCCAACATTCTAGTACTCTTGTGGAAATCTGGCAAACACAGTCTGTTAAGCTTCTTTTCCTAGACTGATGCTGGCTTTCATAAACTGCTTCTTGCAAGTCATTTCACCATGTGTATGTGGATATTTGGTTTTGAGCTATTAATGACTTTTAACTGCATCTTTGGCTGTCACTATAAGAGGTTGTAAAGTTGTCAGAGGTCTAGCTAGCTTCAAGAAAGGATGCTGTGTGAAAAATGAAAAAAACATTTGTTTTACAAAAGTGCTTATTCTACACCATACACATTTTGTTAAATTAGTCTGTATATTAAAAGTTTAAAATATTTACAGTGTACAGCATTCTAATGACATGCTGACAAATGCAGAGCAAATAATTCCACGTGTTAAACTACGACTCTCTACCAACATGATTTGTATAAACAAGTGTAAAGCAAGTGTACTGACACAGGACTAAACCATTCTTATTAATGATGAAGTTTATGATGTTTCAAAAAAAAAACCAGTAAGTTTATAAGCCTGTAAATTCAACAGGCACTGTAGAAGAATCTATAACAATTCATATTTAACTATTCCTCTGTAAGCATATTTCTTCAAGTTTGAAATTTCTATTGATAATAATGTTACATATACTTTATCCTGAAAAGCATCAGAAAAAAAAATATTACAAAAAAAAAAAATCACTATACATTAGCAGTCCTGCATGAGTCTTTATGTAATTTCTTGAAGAACTCCCAGTTGTATAGTACTATAATATACTATAGAATTTTCCTTACTTTGGAACAAAACTTGAACTCAAAGCAGGTATCAAAATCACACAAAAGAGGAAAACAAAAATAACAAGGTGCTTGTAATTGTTTCTAAAGTCATTAATGAAATGAAATTGTCCATTAATTATTAGAAATAAAAATTAAACATTTTCATCACCATGTTCAAAGATAAATATTTGTTTCCAATTGCAAGTTAACAATATTGAAATAATGAGATCACCTACTTTTTTAATGTACATTTCTTTAGTACATTTGTTTACTTCTCTCTCACTCATGCATCTAAGAGAGTACTCAAAAGATGGAATGATGTTATATCTTTATCATGTGGAAGTTTGTCACAATTTGTATTGATTATTTAACTATAAGCCATGGCTATTTACTAGGTTTTTCTCATTTGATAGCTTCTTCACCTGATGATGACAAACTTTGTCGAAACGTTGTACATTTGCTGTTATGTTAAACTTATATTAAAGTTTTTCTTCATTACCCATTCAAGCCATTATTCTTCAGGATTAGTTTTCTCCAATCATAAAGATGGATTGAATAGAAGGAAAGAAAATAATAATAACAATAATAAATATTTTTTAATAATTATAGGTATGCATAAATGGTTTTTCTTTATAATGCATGACATTGCAGGTATGTCATTTTTTTCTCTGAATTTTGAAGGCTTCATCATATGACATGATGGACTAATTGGTAAGGTTCTGGTGTAACTTCTTCCTCAAGACATTGTATGGTAGATTTCATTCATAGCAACATGGATTGACAAGTGGTTTTTTGATATGGAAGATCTACAAGTCATAATAATTTACATATTCTATAAATATCAGATATTTGAGATTATCAAACTATGAACTGCTATAATGACAAAAACATTTGCTATTGCAAAAATTTATGGAAATACAGCAAACGGGTAACTCTTACTAGAAAAAAAAAGTTATTCCATGCAGGAATAATATTAATAACTTTAATAAGATACAATTTGGATAATAACAAGGCAAAATGCTAATACTGAATCAATTTTTTGTCAAGAAAAATATATATATAGAGGACTACCTCTAGGAAGAACCATACAAAATATAGTAAAAATCAGGTGGTTTTTATAAATGGTAAATGCATTAAAATTTAAAGTATCTGAAAATGAGCTCCAACAAAATTTTGAGTTTCATAATTTCAGAAATTTTATCATAGGAATATTTCTATGAAGTTCAAACACTTTTCCCAGTTAGACATCAACTAAAGTAAATGGAAATGGATAGATCTAAATGTAACAAACTTTTTACAAAGTAGAAATATTTACACAAAGGTTGGTCAGGGATGTAAGCATTAAACCATTTTTTCAGCAGCAAAAGTTGATATTGTATGGGAATTATAGATATTACATAATAAACAAATATTAAATTATGAGGTGGTGCCTTAGTAACCCTTTCGCAATGGGCTTGGTATAAAATACACGAGTTCGTATACACATCTGCACAAAATTTGGTAGACTTTTAGTAATAACTACAAGTCTTTTGTACACAAAAAATCAGGTTTTTTAATGAACTATTTTTACTAAAGATTTATTTGTGAAACGAGTCTGTTTCATTACTAGTCAGAGTGTGAAATGATTTTCATGTTATGATTAAAAAACTATTCTTCGTCCCCAAAATCTCAAATATTATTTGTTATCTCTAAAACCTCCTAATTTCATTTCAATTTGTCTGTTATTTCCTCTACCCTAACTCTACGGGGTCTGTCAATTTGATCCACCTCATAACCACCATAAAAAATCAGGAAATAAATATAAATTATGTTTTTTTCGTTGTAGAATGCCTACATATTATAAAATGAAAATACAAATGTTTAGTCTAAATAGCTTAAATCTCCTAATATTATACATTTATATATATTTATTTATTTCTATTATACTGACCTTCTAGTTGTGCCTGGCTAACATTACAGGTAATGCAATAATGAGGCGAGTGTGCACTCATGTTACCATATTCAAGAATATAAAACTAACCTTTAGTCTTGGGTGTGTTTTAGTGGACTAATACTTTATGTTACCATATTCAAGAATATAAAACTAACCTTTAGTCTTGGCTGTGTTTTAGTGGACTAATACTTTGTAAAATACAGTCACATTTCAATTATTGTGCATTATATTTGTATATAGATTATTGCTATTTACAAACAAGTTTTAAACTTATTTTTCTTAACACACAGAACAGTAAATGAAGAAATAAATCAAACAATTATCTCTTCTTGTTACAACCTTTGTACTTGGTTGTAGCTTGCTAAGCCTTAAGAAATTTCGCACGTGGAGGATGTGAAACAAAATAATTTTTTTTAGGTTTTATATATATACATTTGAATAACCAAAATATCATATTTCTATATCGATAGAATAGAATATGATATAATTCATTTTAAGTTATTAAGTTTAGTAACTAAGCTGTATTTGGGTAACAAAAAAACATGAAATTTTGAACAGCCTAAAGAAACAGCTTACCAGCATGAAGGTTTGACTTGAAAGAAAGAGATGATGCCATTATATTTGAAAATGGCTGAGAAAGCCACTAGGGGGACATTCTAAGCATTTCGAATGGTTAGTCATATATCATATATAGAAGTAAGTGTATATAATAGACCGTTTCCAAAAATGGAAAGAAGTGAGTCTGGCCACTGTGTTTGATTCAGTACCTGAGCGGTATCTCAGCAAATAGAAAAGTGAGGAGGTTCTTATTTTATATTGTAGATTGTCATTATTGGTAATTTGAGTTCCTAATTCATAAAGAACTATAGACTTTGTATTTTGACATCACAAACATCTAATTTAAACCAGTGCTGCATTCACAACATACAACATGATTGATGTGTTTTTAATATTTACTTTTAAATTAAGAAATCAAATAATGTATAATATAAAAATTTGAATTATAATCTACAGATTGATACCAAACTTACTGACATAAATTCATAAAATAGCAGTTCAATAAAATTTTTTAATGCAAGTCAACAAACACGATGACCATGGGGTAAAGCTGAAGTTCTCACACAGTAAGATGAACAGCCAAGCATGACAGTGAATTCTTACATTTAATGATATTGCTTTTTGGTGTGTGTCATTAGAATAACAGGTTCAAAACAGAATAGCCTAGTAAAATAACAGTAATTTATACCATACCTTTAAGAGTTCAGAGGCTGTGTATCGTTTATCTACATCCACTTCTAAACACTTGTCCAGGAAATCTTGGAAGACTGGAGACAGATTATCTTTTTCTTTAATGTCTGGCTTCCCATTTGTTGCTATTAGATACAATGCCTGAAAAAGAAGTGTGACTTGCTAACTAAATCAACAACCTAAGTTAACAACACAAAATAATTCTGATAATAACTAAAAAAAGAAATATATATATTAAACATTTTAACCAATACTGTTAGTGACACTAACATTACAAAGATAATAGAATATACCTTAATTACAAGAAACACAAAAACAATCTGGTTGCTTCGTGCACTATTACTGAATCCCCGTCCCTTGACACCCATGACATCAGTATGTACGAATCTTTGGATAATCCTCCCAAACAATGTCTAGATGGTTCCAAAAGTATAGCTTTAGAATAGCTTAACATGTTGGATGAATTACGTAATATGTTAGTCTCTAATTATAGGCGGGGTAACATGATGGTAGTGATAGTATGGCAAAAAATAACTAATTTTATGAAGTTAAAAAATAATAGTAATAAACAATGGAAATGAATAACAAAAATCTCACAATAAATAATAAATCTATTAATACTTTAAAATAACTAAGTTAAGTATAATAAAAAATAATCTGTAGTACTACACTGTAATTATGATAGTTTTGAAAAGGTCATAAAACACTGTAAAAATAATTAATCTCATAATCTATAGCAAAAAGACTGTTGAACTCAAGCAAATTTAAACAAACAGTGTCCAAAATGTGGTAGGAGAAACCTCATTTGTGAAAAAAAATTAGAGTTTACAAGCTCTTGTCCACAAAATCTTGTAATAATGAACAAATTCAAGTGTGAATGTGGTAAATGCTGTAACATAGCTTATCTGGATTAGTTACTGTACACATGAATGTTAAATGTTTGTTGTTGTTGCTGTCATTCTACTGTTCATCATTAAACTTTTATTCCTGTCAAATGAATCTGTTGCTTGTATTGAAGCAGAACAGATTTATCCACTAGAACACATTCTGGGATAAAGCTCTTTCAATTAAAAATAAAGCACATTATTTTAATATACATGTAAGGATCATTAATCAAGCTCATAATTTTCAATAAAACACTTGCTATTTAAGTGATAAACTTTCCATTTCCAAATACAAATGTTCCAGATAAGCTATGTTACAGCATTTACCACGTACATATAAATCTATTGAAGATAATGATGAACAGTAGAACAATGGCAACAACTGTGTGTACAGTTACAAACCTTTAATTCTTGAACATTTCAGAATGTACATATTTCATCTTCAGCAAGCTATATTGAACAGAGTAAAATATTCAGTATAAAAAAATTTATAAAGTTCAATCATTTTATAAATGAACTCCGAACTTTAAATAATAACACAGCTTCACTACAATTAAGTCTGTCCCGAATAAATTGTATAATATTGTTACAGTTGTTGCATTATCCTATTCTTTCTTGCTTATTTGTTTTGTTTTTTTAACTTGACTTCATCTATTTTTTCTGTATTTTAATTTCTCTTTGTAAAATGTTTAAACTTTATAAATTTTTATACCTAATGTTTTACCCTCTTCAGTATAGCTTGCTGAAGATGGAATATGTACATTCTGATATGTTCAGGAATTAAATGACAAAAATATCTTTCAGCAACTACAGGGAATAGCTATAATAAAGACAAAAACAAGGCTTTGTACATTATTCGCCAAAGCATACAATTGTGTTTTAAAGTAAAAAAAATATATCACTTTTAATAATTTGGGTATTGTGATAATTTTTTTATGAGTAACATTATTATAGAAACATTTTTGTTTACTTAAGCAAAGCATTAATGCACTCAAATTCTTAAAAGTTTTTTTTTTTTTAGCAAAGCCACAGTGGGCTATCTGCTATGTCCACTGCAAGGAATCGAACCCCATATTTTAGCATTGTAAGTCCTTAGGCTTACCGCTGGCCCCTTTGGGTGACAATTCTTAAAAGATCTTGAAATTACTGATAAAAAACATTAATTTTATCCACAGGAAGACTCCCTCAGATTTATCAACTCAAAATTTTCTACTATTGTTGCATCAAAGTCTTTCATTTTTTCTCTGATTTGATGATTTTATAGCTTTTAAACCCTAAAAACTTACAAAAAAGAAAATAGGAAGACATCCAAATAAGGAGAAAATTGAAATTCAATCTACTCTTACTCCTTGACTAAGTACTGGTTGGAAACACCTACCCTGAGAGGATTTTCATTAAGATAAGGTGGTTCACCTTCAATCATTTCAATAGCCATAATCCCAAGTGACCAGATGTCAACCTTGGGTCCATATTGTTTTCTTGTTACTACTTCTGGAGCCATCCAGTAAGGAGTGCCAACCATTGTTGTTCGTTTACTTTGTTCTGGAGTGATTTGAGCACAGAATCCAAAGTCAGCTGCATGATGGAAAGTACCAAGAATAAAGTTATCATGCGAGAGAAAAAGAGGACAGAAATGACTTCTAAAGAATTTAAAGTCAGCCTTACAAAATTAACTTAAGGCATATTAAAAATTGTTACAGTTTTGTAGACAGTTCATTAGGCTCAGCTTAGTTAGCAAAAGTTAAAGATTTTTAAAATTATTTTAAGTTTATCCAGCCAGGTATATAATATACTTTTTATGAGAGCACATGACAACATTAACTTCACATTCTTTTTGTTCAGTCTCCTCCCGTCAAATCACCTATATAGCAAAACAAGATTCTATTATTATTTGTTATAGATAAATTAATAAAAGAAATATTCAAATGGTTAACTCTAACTTTGATTTCTTCTGTTCCTACTGCAAATGTTGGTTGTAAAATAGAAATATTTAAGTATCAAAATGTACAAATAAAACTTGTCAAGATATGAAAGATTGCTACACATCTGCTCTTTTTATATATTTGTTTCTTAGGTCCAGAACAAATAGTTTGCAATAAATGTTTTTTTTTTTTATGAAGTTGCTGGTGTTAAAAAATGTAAAATCTAACTAAATGCACAATTTGTTTTATAATGTCCAAATATCTAAAGCCAATAGTCATAAATATAGTCTTGAAAATGAAATTATTTTCTTTTTGTAATCTATTTGCCACGGAACTCCCTTCTTTCCTCATGTGGATTGTACATTTCTAAATTTTTAGTTATTTAATCAGAAATCTTTTTTGCTTACACATTTTCAAATAATCTATGATCGTTTCTTTCAACAAAGTGGGCTAGCAGGTCATCTGGCCTATGATTGTTTTATTGTTAATAAGCATATGTAAAACCTGGCTTTTATTGTCAAGTTACAATCATATTAACAGTGTAATACACAGCATGTCATGTAGTTGGTTTTATTTCATTATGTATTGTAAGTTTACCAAAAAGAAATCAAATCCAGATTAAAAAATGTTCAATGGTTTACACTGCTAGAAAGAGTTTATTATTGGTTAGGAATTCTTTATCGATAATATTTAAAAATTTGATAATAGAGTAAAAATTAAGAAATAAATAGCCACAGCATAAAATTAAAAGATATCAAATATAATAGCAGATATTTAAGATCAAAAAAGTAAAACATAGATATATTCTGTTAGAAATAAATTAGGAAGATATATTAAATCATAAAATGTACATATTTCGTACTGATCATGAGAACTGGGAAATTCAAACTTATATGTACATATTTTATGCTTCATTATAAACATAATTTTTATATAATCAGGTAAACCACTGTTATCATTTGATGTATCAACATCTTCATAATATATATTTCCATTTACTTTAAAATGAAAAAGATGATTCTAATAATAAAAAGTATGGTTTAAACACTGAAAGCTGGAAAAATATTGACAACCAACTGCCTTAAATATTGTTTTAAAAAACATGTTAACTGCAGATACATATATATTTTTTTTTACATTGTTCTTAATTTGTTCATTGCAGCTCACAATGGGGGGTTTGTGAGAAATGGCATGTCAAATCTATCTTTTATCTCCTACAAGTCAGTGCCCAATAAACTTTTTATTCAATATCAGAGCTCATCAGTTTGGCTGGATGGTGAGAGACAAAAGTTTCTATGAAACACTATCTATACATGTGATATAATACTTTAATCATTGCAATCTAATTGTTGTAAGCCACTGAAATATTGTATAAGCTAAAAATTATTATAAAACAAGTTAACTGCAGATTTTTTTTTTCTTTTCCATATTTCTCTTAATTTGTCTATTGTGACTCAAAATCAGGTGTGTAAAAGATAGACCCGAAATGTTTTTTTTACACACCCCCGATTTCCAGTTGCATTGGACAAATTAAGAGGAATGTGGAGAAAAAAAACGTCTGCAGTTAACTTGTTTTTCTAATAACCAAAGCTTCAAAAATTAAAGTTCAAACAGACAGATTTCGAAAAAATTTCTATATTTGTTTTGTGTTTGCTACTTGTAAATCACTGACTTATAATACTTTAAGACAAATGTTGCTCTTTGAAATATAAAATACCAGTTAAATACTAGTTTTCAACTGGCAAATACTAACACTACCTTTTGTTTTAATAAACCTACATGACTGATGTGTTTTCACATTGTCAACTAATCTATGCTAAAAGGAAACTTTGTTACAAACAAGCTAAAATATTCGGAACTGCACATGTTCACAAAGAAATTATAAGTCTCAAAACTTACTTAGTTTTACGTTACCATCCATTCCAAGTAAAATGTTGTCACTTTTAATATCCCTATGAATCACATGGTTAAGATGAAGAAACTCTAATCCCTGAAGAACCTAAATAAAATATGAACTTATTTAAAAGATAAATATTTTAAGATATCAGTAAAATTTTAATTCAGTGTGGTTGTTGTATTCAATACTTTAAAAATGTATATATTATGAAATTTGAAGACAACAATACAAACATGGAGTAGAACAACAAAAAATTGAAGATCTTTATACTGATAACAAACAGTGTTTTTAGTATAATATTGCTTGTATAACATACACAGTAGATTTTTCATGTTTTCATTTAATCCTGAAAGACTACACTAATTGTTTGCAGTAGTTTTTAAATGTGTGTTCTTCATGACTTTACCTAGTTTTGTGATTTAGGGTAAAAATCAATTCTAAGATAGTGAAATTTTAACCTATTTTCAGGCTGAATCACTTGTTAAGTTCTTCTGGTATGTATTTAATTTAAACTATCAGTCCTTTCTTAATGCTACTCTTTTTTTTTCAAGTTAATAACTTGCATGATAGAAGATTAAAAATATGCTACAAATCTAACATCAAAACATAAGTTTTAACATGGTTCAGACTGATATTTAGTACAGTTAAAACTTGCTAATGGTAAACTAGAAAGAATTTTTGTATACTTGTTGAAGATGTGCCTCCATATAATGCACTGGAGGTGAAACTTCCTGTAAGAACTACACATAGTTTACACTATGATGACCTCATCAATTTTACATGGAACTTCACTATTACTGGCTGAAATATCATCTAAAATTTTTGTTATCACTATAGAAATGAAAGTTTATGGAAGTAAGTATTCATATTTGCTACTAAGGTGATAAAGAGTTTTGACAAGGAACTGAAATAATCATTGAATAGACTTTTAAATAAATTGCGATCATCAGATCTCTTCTGTAAAAAACCTCTACTAATAACAATCAATCTAACATACTTCTCTACAAACTGCTGATATTTGACCTTCATCCATACAGGTTTCAGTGACAACATCAGTCAAAGACCCACCTGCTAAATATTCCATTACTACCTAAACAAACAAAGTTTAAAATTCCACTTACATTTTATTCTTTAATAAAATTATACATACATGATTTAAGATTCTCTCATTAATCATGTAACTAATAAAAATACTCATACCAAAGTTCTTCAAACAGTTTCTGCACGAGGCAGAAACTAAAATAACAACAGTTCTTTAGCATTCTTTAAGGGTTAGATTTTTATTATCTAGAAAAATGTGGTTCATAGAAAAAAAAATTACAAATTCAAGTTCAAGCATGTTAAGGAAGAGCTAATTAGCAAAGAACACTTTTCTACATTTTTGTTACCTATTCAATTTCTAACTTTCATTTTTCTACCGTGAAAATTTTCATTTTTTTTTTGAAGTACTCTCTTTGATATAATTGATGACTAAAGCTGTGATCTGGTTCCCAACATTTTGAAAATTGAAAATTTAATATTTACCGTATTACACCCTAAACAATGTTTACAGTTATGCAAATAATGCTTGATTTTAGAGTATCATATAAGCTGCTAAGAATTTAACAAACTCAACTTTTTCTGTATAAAATAATTCAAAGAACCACATATAAAACTATGTGAGCCAAATATACAAGGAAGATGAATAAAGCAATGGTATAAACTAAAGAGCGCTACTGATAAATCTTGTGCTGGTGGAAGATAACATACTGGAAGGAGCACATACTATGCAGAAATAAAGTTATTTCAAAGTCATAAATAGCAAACAGATCCAAAATAACTGTATCAGAAGCAAATATTATTATTACAATCACAATTAAAAACAAAACAAAAAAAGACCTGTGAGACTGATATGTAAAACTTTTCTTAAGCTTATACTGTTGCTTAAAATTAACCCTCTTAATTAAATAAAAGACAGTACACCTTAACCTACACTCAATAACATGTAAAAATAAAAACAGTGTCAACTGATATGTAACACTAAGAACACTTACCCAGAGTTCATCACCTACAAGATAACTATCCAAGTAGTTCACTATGTTTAGATGTTTGTTTTCTCGCATTACTAAAAGTTCATTGATGATAAGTTCTTTTTTAGGTTGCTGGGTTAGATTCATTTGCTTAATAGCAACTTCCAACCCAGTTCCTGTTTCTATAGCTGTATACACAGTTCCTGAAGCACTGAAACAATAAAAGAAAATATCATTAGAGTCTGCGATGTTCTGGTGATAAAATTATTGTGCCTTTTAAAAAATAATGGGTTATAAATTTCATAAATATTTAAAGGAACAAAAAAGAGCATATTAGCCCATCAAGGATGTCTCTTCCAGCTTCCAACTATAACCACCTCTTACTACTCCACCACCCTCGAAAGCAGCTCATTCCAAAAGCCAACTATCTTATTTGAAAAAGAATACTGTCTAAACTGCAGATGACTCCTACGCTACCAAAAATTGAACTTATGCCCCCCCTTTGTCCTATTGTTTTCATTGCTAAACACAAAAAGTTTGATGGATCTGTATTATCAATACCCTTAATAATCTCAAACACCTCAATCAAATCCCCCTTTGACGCTTCTCCTCTCCAGAGAAAGCAAGTTTAGAGATTTTAGTCTCTCCTCACAGGACAACCCCACCATCCCAGGTATCATCCTAGTGGCTCTTCTCTAAACCTTCTCCAACAATTCAATTTACTTCTTGAGGAATGGAGCCCAAAATTGTACACAGTACTCTAAATGAGGACTTACAAGTGATCTATATAGTGAAACAATAATATCCTTTGTCTAGATGCTACCTAAAATCCTATTAGCCCTACTGCTAGGTACAATACTGTTTAGATGACTTAAGTGATTTTTCAATCACAACACCAAGATATTTTTCTTCAACTACAGTATTTAATGTATTCCCATTTAAACTGTAACAATAATTTGAATTATGAAAACCTACACGCATCACCTTACATTTTGGATAGTTAAGCATCATCTGCCACATATTGGCCCAATGCATCAAATGATCTCAATCTCCCTGTAAGTCTGCAGCATCTTTGATACAGTTAGCCACCCCAAAAATCTTAATATCATTTGCAAACTTTCAAATTTTGTTAGTCATTCCACAGTCAATATCATTAATATAAATCACAAACAGCAGAGGACCCAGTAGAAAGCCCTGAGGCACACTGCTTGTAACTGTGATCAAGTCAGATCTAACTATATTTATTACTACTCTCTGCTTTCTACTATCCAGCCAATTCAACAACATTTCCCCCGGACCCACAGATTTATTTTTTGTAAGAAGTCTTTTGTCAGGCACCTTATCAAATGCTTTCTGAAAATCAAGGTAAACCAAATACACAGTATTTCCTTCATCAACTCTTGCAGTAACATCCTCAAAGAATGTAAGAATATTTGTTAAACAAGACTCTCCCTTAGTGAAACCATGCTGGCTCTTTGACACTATATCAAACTGCTTTAAGCAATTCTGCAATGCATCTTTGCAGATCACACTTTCCAAAACTTTTCCTAACTACTAATGTAAGACTAACTAGCCTATAATTGCCTGAATAATGTTATCACCTCCTTTAAATATTGGATTAACATTAGCCAATTTCCAATTTTCTAATACTCTTCCACTACTCAATGACCTATAAATAGTTCACAAATAAAATCTTCAAGTTCCTTTAAAACTCTAGGATAAAAGTTGTCTGGTTGAGGGGATTTATCAATTTTTAAGTTTCCCAACTTTTCTCTTACAATTTCAGATCTTATCTTTTACATCAATATTCTTCTCATACATTAAGTGCTCTGGTTGCGGCATAATATTTATATCTTCCTTTGTAAAAACTGAAGAGAACTTATAATTTAATACATTTACCATCTCATGATCTTCCGAGATCAGCTAACCCACTATCATATGTTTCTAATCTTATTTTTGTAAGGTGGTAAAACTGTATGCTTACTTTATTAAATAGCAATTAGCAAATCATGCATAATTAAATGTTTGTTATTATATGAATGCTACTATAAAATAAATGGTAGATTATATTCACACAAGTAAGCAGCACAACTTCAAACTACATGAGCAAGCACCACTCCTTCAGTTACACTAATAACCTTTTGGAAGTGTGTTATGCTGTTACATTTAAGATGTACTCATAATGTGATGTTAGTTTTGAATCTTTAGTACTATAGTTTAGCTAAGCCTACATGCATGAATTAATCCATTGTGGTGAATGTATACTTTTAAGCATAACAATATTAACGATACTATGGATTATGTTGCTCTATAAATGTTGTAACCTAGTGAGTGATCAAATGTACTTTAAAAGTTTGCATGGCAATGATGTCTTTCTACAGTGTTATTTTATTCTTCATAATTTAACAATTCCCACTTTAAATTGAAATGTCCAATTATTTAGTTTCATATTTATAACACTTTCTGAACTATGTGACTATTTTTACTGGGACTAGAATAGTTATTTTTTTAATGCAAAGTTCTATTGATGTCAAATTAAACAGCTGTATCTGGGTGAGATGAATCAGACTGCCCACTTGTAACTCTACATTTTTGTTTTTCATTGGTAAGCCAGAAAAGGGCAAGGTGTTTTCAAATGTTGAACATTTGTATATTTTATATTTAAATCATATTTTCAATACATCAGGAATACCATTCTACAGACTGGTTAACCAGTCCATACATTTTTTCTCTGCATCACATATACTGTAGTAAAGTTATGAAAGAAACCAGTGCGATGAATAAACATATGTATACATTTGATATTTCTAATAATTAAGTCATTATGCTAATAAAAGAAATAAACTGTTAGCTTTCAGTTTGGGCTAGTACATTTCTTATGCCTACTAACACGTTTATAACCCTCGTAATTTTTTTTCTTTTGCAGAAGGAGGAAGTGAAATATTGTCAAAGTTGGACGTATTATGAAGAAAAAGGTGTCAAAACATCCTGCTTGTGATGTAAAATTTACAAAATGATCAGCTTAATGTCATATATTCATTCACTCGAAAAGATTTTTAAAAAAGCTAATGAACCTACAACAAAAATTTAACAAAATGTCAACATATAGTCTTAAAAAAAACAGGTAACTGATTGATGAAGTGATATAGTTAAGATAAAATAATATCCACTAATTATTAATTGGTGCTATGTTCCAAAAATAAAGTGTTTATCTCTTAATATTTTACTACTGAGTAAAAATTTAACTTTAAATCACAATACCATTATTTTGCAACCTTTCACAAAACCTTAAGTATTTATACTGTGGACTCAGATTTCTGACCAACTCAAATACAAAACCAAAAACCAAAACTCAAGCTCTAATACGTGCAATTAGGGTATTCAAATTACCATACTTTTCTTTAAGTTTAAATGAAAAAAAAAAAAGCTGCCGTGGTACATATTACTTTTAAACTTACCCTTGGCCAATTTTTTCTATCTTGGTATATTTTTTATTGGGATCTCCAACAGAAACAATACTTCTTAACTTCTCCATAATTTCTTCATCTGTCATCTTCTTTTTCTTTGACTTGGTTGACAAATTGTTATTATTTGTGATATCCTTCCCATCAAGTCCAAGGGGTGAACCATTCTTTACTTCCTCTTTTTCAATAGGTTTTGTATACTGATAAAGACAGATAGTCGTTAATTTTGTAACTTTGAAGTAATAATTCTAAGCCAATGATATATTTATAGAGTAACACTGAACCTAATGCTTTGACACTAGACAGGTAATGAAAGAGAAGCTTTTGAATCATATAATCCCAAGACTGTGAAAAAATACAAAAACCTAGAATGCAGTGGGTCAAAACCAGTGAAATAACCCAAGAGTAAAATTGAACACCATGATCTAAAAACAAGAAAATAAACCCTAAGACTAAATGCCCACTTGAAACAAACACAGAATACCCTCATCCTCGTTCTCTCAAACTACTGTAATAAACTGAATCCTATTCCTTTAAGTCAGTAAAAGAATCAAGGAGTAACCATTAAACCCTTTTCTCATCAGAAACAAGAGAAGAAATATCAGAATAATCTTAAATCTCGTAATCACAAGCTAATGAACCAGTCAAATTGTAATCTTGAATTCCACCCTACAAACCATTAAAATAACTTTAAAAATTATTTTAAATATCTAATGAAAAAAAGTTATTTTTAATTTTCACCAAGGAATAAAATTATTAAAATTTCAACAAATAATCATAAAACTACCATCTGAAATAAAAGCTTTCAAGAGTCATTTTTCTATTACTTTACCATTCTATACCTCTTCATGAATATACATACAAGAATATATACTCACAACTGATTTTGTTTTATCTGGCCGTGCAGCAACTGGTGGTGGGGGCTCAGTTTCTTCGTCTTCAGGGGTGGATGGCTGTATTGGCTTATGCTCAATCTATAAACAATGAAATATTATGTCAGGATTTGTATTTTTTCTGTAGTGTGATTAGTCATTTTTTGTAAACAATAAAATATCCTATTTTCACATTAACCCACAACTTTAAATAATCCATACATACAAAGTATTATGCCCAAAAATGATTTCAATGGAAAAAATATGAGCAATAAATATAAATGAAAACTTTCGTTTTCTCTGTCTAATAACTAAAAATATTTAATTCATAATTACAATTGATAATTCAGTGCATTGTTGGTTAATACTTAATTTTTGTTCATATTTTCATCAAATCTTTCACTTACTTTATAGGTAAACTATTCTCCCAATACAAGGTTTATTTTGCATTTCACAATAAAAAGAAAGAGACAAGTCTTAATATTTCATTATTTACTTTAACCTATACACTTAAAAACTTTGGGAAGTTTGAAGGGAAATACCCTTTTTTCACAGTAGTACTAAATTCCAAACTTCCACGGCAGTGATCTACACGGACATACACTATCCTACCAAAACTCATGGGACACACTGCTTATTGCAGGTAAATGGGTGTGATGATGAAATATGCAAATAGTTTGGCCTATATAGGTGGATCAGCAGTTTGCTCAGAAGTCATTTTGTAATTGTACACCTAATGATGAGTATACGGAAAGAGCTAACAGAGTTTCAGATGGGTAGGATAGTTGGATGTCACTTGGGAAAAATGTCTTTACGTGCTATTGCACATCAATTAAACATTCCCAGGTTGTCAATTGGCAATGTGCTGAAGAAATGGAAGTCAAAAGGTGACAATAAACCCAAGAAATGACTAGGTAGGGGTAAATATCTAACTGACAGGAGCTGACATGCCTTGAGAAAGCTGGTTACCTCATCTTACCATCAGATCCTAGAAAATCTGTGTTTAGAGATGCAAGTAGCCACAGGCAATCCTATAAGTGTTTCTATGACAAGTCGAAGCTGCATGCCATGAATTTTCACAAAGAGCTGCAGCCCACAAGCCGTTGATAACAAAAACAAATGCACACCATCAATTGGCATGGGGTAAGACACACTGAACCTGGACCATGGATCAATGGAAATCGGTCCTGTGGAGCGATGAGTCATGCTACTTGCTCGTTCACTCTGATGGACATGTATGGGTATGGAGGATGCCTGGAGAATGCTTATTACCCCAAGTGTGTTGTCCCAACAGTGAAGTTTGGAGGTGGCGATATCATGGTCTGGGAGTGCTTCTCGTGGTATGGACTAGGTCAACTGGTCACAGTGCATAGATCCATGAATGCTGAGTGCTACTGTACATAGATGTTCTGAACAATCCTGCATTGTGTCATTTTTATGGTACTGGTCCTTACACCTTCCAACATGATAACACTCCATGTCACAAAGCAAGGATTGTGAATGTGTGGTTTGAAGAAAATAACATTGGAACATTGCAGTGGCCAGCACAGAGCCCCGATAGAACATCGGGACAAATTTGCACAGAATTAGGACAAGGCCAAGACGGCCCTCTTCAGTAGTGGAGCTTACTAATGCTTTAAAGGAGGAGTGGAGAACAATACACCCAGCTCTCTACCAGAAATTAGTAGACAGTCTTCCATGACACATTGAAGCAGTCATTAAGGCCAAAGGTGGGCCAACACAGTATTAATTTCTTGGAATAAAGACATGATTTATTCATAGCTACTGTGCCCCATGACTTTTGGTAGAATAGTGTATATGTGCACTTGGTAGTGAAAGACTCAATTAAAAGGAAGTATTTTTATATATTCTACAAAAAATATTTCCAATAACCCCAAAAAATGAAAACAAACCTCCTTGAAATAGTACAAATTTTATATTTACAATTCATTTTCGTGTAAATATTAACTAAAGAAACATGGAAAAAAATATACTTTTACAAATTTTCTGTAAAGACATTCATAATTTTTTCTTAACCTTTTTGTGGTAAAAAAATTAAACAAATTATTTATCTGTAAATTATTCATATTACAATAAAATCAAGTTTATATTCCCAAGTTTCTTCTATTTACAAGTAACCTAATGTGATACACTTTCTTATATATAGCTAAATCAAATTTCAATGATAACAAAACAATTACTAAAAATAAAAGTTTCAATAAAATCATTATTACTATGCAGTTTATTTCTGATGAGATGTACAGGGTAGGCCAAAAAAAATTGGACACCCCTTATTTAAAGCTCATGCTAACAATTTAGTTTTTCATGTTTTAGTAATGACTGTGGCAAAGGAAAGATATGAAACTACTGACACTTTGGGACAAAAAATTGTTGAAAGTTTCGTTAAGGTCACTCCTAATATGCTAAGGAGAATGTAACATCTCACATGGAGACGTATCATCCTGTGTCATGAAAATGAAGGTCAACAGACAGACATTTTGGATTATTAACTGAACCTTTGGTTAATCTGTGTCAATATGAGATATGTAAATATGTCAATATGCAATAAATTCTTTCTTTCATGTACACTATCTTTATTTGATGAGGGTGATGTCCAGACTTTTTGCCCACCTTGTATGTCATAATATAACAATTTAAAAATAGTAAAGCAATCTTACTGTAGCACCAGAAGTAACTTCAACATCTGCAACTTCATTTCCTTCATGACTGGTTGGTGCTTCTGTGTCTGTAAGACAACAATGTTAGCCTACTCACTATAGTATAAAAGGCAACAGTTCAAAAGTACCATTTTGTTTTTTACTATATTGACCACATAACAAGGTTAAATGGCTTTTTTCATAACGATTTAGAAAAAAGGTTTGAAATACTCTGGAAAAACAGGACTTAATCTTCTGTTTGGAGTAGAGTCTTCAATAATGAAATAAATATTTGACAGTTATATAAGTTTGCTAGATTATACCATTTAAATAAACTATTTAATCAATTTTCTTTTTTTACAACTACTGCTCTGAAATATAAGTTTACTGGATCTTGGTAAATTAAAATGACTATTTTAATGCAGTAGATCCACCCCACTGCTTCCAAATATGTCATTTCTTTTGATGCATCTTATGTAATTTCAACCTTCATCTCTTTGAAACCATACACACTGTAAAACATGTCAATATGTATGTACACATACTCTAGAAAACATATAAATATCCAACCACAGTTAAAGCTCTATTTGTAAAAAAAGAGCTGGATAAGTAGGATTGAACATTGAGTTCCACAAGATATGTATCTACTTTAATTCCATTTCAGTGCTGAAAATGTACACTTTAAATACACTTTTGTACCACTGGAAGAAGAAATGAACAAAAGGTAGCATCCTTCTTAAACAAGGAAGAGAGGCATGACATACATAGGATCCCATGTATTAAAATGGTAAGAGGTTTTTTCCAACTTAAGAACACGAATGGGTCAGAACAGTATCAGAAGTGAACTTAAGATGAGTGAGAGCACCCACAGACAGCTCTAAATGCAACACAATAAAACACAATGATCCTAATAACTAAATGGAAAAATACAAAGGAACAGATATAAAGAAATAAACCATACATTACCCAGATCAAGCCCAAAGATTCCAGGTTACACAAGACATCACAAAACAAGTGACAGCTAGGGATGTAAACAAAACATCCTCACAAGTAGCAGCAGCAAAAAAGAAAACACAGATAAAGGGAACAAGAATGAACATCATACACAATAAATGTACATGAGATCAAAAAGTGACCCAAGACAAAAATCTTAAAGTTTGACAACAAAATGAAAAAGACTGAATAATTGAAAGGTCTGCAGTGTTGTAACTGCTCAATCTGTTTTTATTACATATGTGGTATGAGATTTATACATTTGAGGCTGTACTGTACACCTGTGATCTGAGATGAAAAGTGAATCATTTATGTGGTATGTAACAATAAACAGCAGCAATGAATAAGTGAACCCTAAAAGATGAACAAATATATGTCGATAGTCATCCCAAAGGGGTTAAAATATTTGAAATGAAACTCAGCTGAGGGATATATATGTACATACACATATATACATTAGTAAATTTTCATACAGTGAAAAAGTTTCAAAGATTGTCAAATCAATATACAATGTCAAAAGTTATCTAAGCCTCAGTAAATAGCAGAGAAACTGGAAAACTAAAAACCTTATCATAGTAAGGTGGGGACAAAAAAAAAGTCCAACACTTGATTTGCAGAGGCATTCTATCAGAGATTGTTCAGAAATTTAGAAAAGGTACAAATGTATCTGAGCCTCAAGAAAAACTGGACAGAAAAAATAATCCAAAACATGTTTTGTTGAAGCACTCATCCACATTTCAGGCCCAATACAGAAATGTCAAGATCGAGCAGACTAGGGAACGCTGCTACATGCTAGAGGTACATATGGAGGGTAGCAGAACTGTAACCAAAGAACCATTAAACATTCTGAACATCACACACGTGCCAGCACAAGAAGATCGTAGATATTTCCAAATAACAGCTGCTGCAAAACTTCATAAAGAAAGGCTTATTAATTACTAGCCTCAGTATATACAAAGAACCAGTAAGAGAAAGTGCTTAAAATGTGATCAGTTTGATTGGTATTTAAAAATGTGTTAAAATGTTTAAAAATGGGAAATGGGAGACAGAGTGACATGAGGTTAATAAAACTTGTACACAAATTTAAGAAGAGGTGAAAAAAAAATTAACCATTATGTGAAATTAAAAAATTCATAATGCAGAAGCCAGTTGGAGTAGAGTTGTTAGATAGTCTATCCTTAAAATGAAAAAAAAACTACACAAATTGACTGTGAAGAAATCAAGAAAAACAGCATATATAATATATTTAAGCAAATCTATATTAAGTATGAATGCAGCAGTAATGGCAGTGTAGAAGTGCTAAAGTGTCTGTGCATGTGACTGTTCACATCCTATGGTCGAAGAGACTTTATATTACTAAGAAAATATTTAAAAAAATAGTTCAGGAAATAGTTAAGAAAAAAAGATGCTTTGAATGACAGGTTATCTAGATATTAGCAGCTGTCCATTAAGAGACTTGAACAGAACATGAACTGAAAATTTAAGAAATATGAGAAAATCATTATATACTTAAACATTTGCCTTTTTTTCTCCAAATCTATGGAATTTAGTAAAAATATAAAAACCAAACACTGGATTTTGTAAAAACGTCAGTCATACCTTACTAAACATTATATTCTTTGTAAAAATTTCAATTATTATTTTAAATCTCACAAACTCACCATTTACTATACCAAGTGTCATGTACTTGGATTCCTCTTTATCCTTGGTAGAAATAAAGTTTAGTGCATCCAAAACAGCCTGTGGGTTATCCTTTTGCTCGGTCTTACTAATATTGGCTTTTAGAAGCATCCGGGTCCAGGATTCTGGCATACCCTAAAATCATATTTTTATAGAATTAAAGAAAATTGTATACATATCAAGGGAATATGCATACTTTGAATGTTGAAAATGTATTTACATCAATAGTTGGACTATATTTGTAAAGTTAAAATGTTTATCTTATGTACCTTTTAAATACTACAAATTAACTCAATATCAATATTCAACTACATGTATAATCAATAAAAAAATTTAAATGTTTCTGTATAGTGTACAAACACTTGGAATATTTCAGATGATTCTTTCTCAAGATGTCCTTCACACATGACTTAAGTAAATTATACAATTTAATACATTTATTATATGATTTTGTATCATAACCACTATTCAAAAATTTGTAAAAAATATGTTAAGTTTAAGATACTATCCTCTAAAGGTTATTACCGGTTGACTTGGCTAATTTTAAAATTAATGTGCTAACATTAAAAGATAAAGAAATATTACAATCTTGAAATTAATTATGGATTGATATAATATCTGTATATATTAAACTAAATTATCACCTCAAAACCTTACACAATAAAAGTGAAATTTCAATTGTTAAAAAATTAATTAGAAACAAATACAACCTACTTAAATTTCAGCTTTAAAGATTGATCCTATTAAATGGTTTATTTCAAAACAACTGTAATATTAACATGATAAACAAGCAAAACTAACTTGATTTAACTGATTTGTTACAACAAGACAACATTTCCCATAAATTATGATGCGGTTGTTTAATAATTATTACCTAACACAGTGAAAACAAAAATCAATCGATACTAACCGTAAATTCTCCTTTTTTCTCATCATAACCAACATGTAATGTATGCTCAAAATTTGTTGGATGAGAAATTTCTGGCTTGTCACTGTCTTTTTTGTCTTTCTTAGCATCTGGGGTAAAGAAGAAAACAAAAATAAGAAAAATACACCTAAAAACTATGAATGGCAAGTGATTAATCACGTAAACACTGGCACAACATTTACCTTCTACCTTCTTGATTTAATATGCACATGCATAGGACAAAATCATACTTAAAAGCTTTTCATGGAACTTTTCTTAAGAACTGCAAAATTATCTTATACATTAACTCAGAAGAAAAAATATCCCCTGTATTTTTAAGTATGAACATGGCATATTGTTGGAATGTATAATATATATATGGCAATTATTTGTGCAGTGATTTTATCTTTAAATAGATCAAAATTAATCTATTCAACAACTGAAAACAATGGAAAGCATTTGGTGGATGGTTTGTTAAAGAACAAAACAAAAATATCTTGTGTAATTAAAAACCATATATACAAAAATAACAAAATAAAAATATTATTCACTGACTTGAATATCAGAATGTATCATGATACATCACTTTTTGTAGGGAAGAGTTTTAACACTCAAAGTCTTAAGTTTTACATAATTTAAAATTTATCAGTAATTATTAATTTTGTAATTTTTGATTAGAATATACCAAAACGTTTAACATACTCTTTAAAGTCTTCAATTTTCCCTTCTTCTTTTCTTCACTATCTGGTTCTCTAGGGAGTGGTTTCATGTCAACTGGCAAGGCTATGTCTCTGTAAAACCACATAAAATTGATGAAGACACTTGTATTATCTTTTAAATAGAAACATTTCACTAAAAGTTCATTCAGTTTGGGAATTTATATTTATTAAAAAAACAAACCGTGCAGAGTTAGTCATATTATGAAAACTTCTTCATATCACGAATATTAAACAATAGCTCATTTACTTATGCTTTCCAAAAATAAAATGTTGAAACATGTTGGTTTTAAAGTTGTTATATTTGAAATAACAGTTAATATAATACAAATTATCAGTCAAATCTCAGAAATGCATACGAAATTCTAAAGATTTCCTATTTCAATAGGTAAATTTCAAGGTAAAAATATTAATCACAATTAACTATATAACAAAATGGAACATTGAATGCAAAATTTTATTAGAATTACATTAAATATGCACTAAATGCCTTAATATTCATTGTACAGTTGTAGAAATTATAAATGATATTTCATTAATATTGTTGCGTATCTGTTTGTTTGTTAATTTCCGGTATAAATTCTTTCCGAGGAACTTCTGCGATACAAGTCCCTTCTTGATTAAAACAGTTTATTCATTCTCAATACAAACGTTTAGTACCCAGTAATTCCACAGTCAGTAAATTTCTCATCACTTTCAACTTAACAACTTTTATAATACACACTATAAATCACAGCGATTCACAATCTCGATAACTACTGTTGCTTCTTTAATTATCTATATATCGCTGGCTTCTCTGCCAGGCTTATATACTAACGAAGGGGGCGTCTCAAATACACTCGGGCATCCTCGATCATTCGATAAATTTTACGCACGCTACCAGTGGTTGAAAATTGGCAGTGATAGAAGATCACTCGTTTAAAATAAAGTGATAGTTAGAACACATAAAAGCATATGTTCTGATACATTTATACAATATTTTTAATGTAAAGTAAGAATTGCAATCCAATTCTTTCAAATAACCAACGTTCTTTGACTTCTGTCCTAAAATATGTTCAGGATTTCTGGTGTATTTGAATAATAATAATTTGAGCATTAACAGTAAAATGCTCCTTAAATTTTAATTGTTAGTTTTTATGTATTCTGAAGAAAGTCATTTTGCTTGTTAATGGTTAATATCTCTAAAGTTTAAATATTAACCCATTTGACATAAGTTTACAACCTAGTTACAGTTTCCTGTTCACCAACATTTTAAGACACACAAAAACTAGTTAACTAATTTAGGACTTTTGATATGCTTCATGTATAAAACAATACCACATTCACAAGCTCAACTGCATGTACCATCATTAGTATAAAACCATTAGGCCAGTATTATATTATTATTAAACCTTTTTATCCAACTATTTTATGGTATGACTGCATGAAAATATATATATATATTAGAATTCTAAAGTAACAGGTCACAAAACACAAGATAAACAGAAGTAATGAAAGCTCTCATGACAGTATTATATATATATATATATATATATAATCTTTGTCTTTTAAGCAAGGTATTACAAAACTTCTGAATCCCATACTTAATTTTCCACTTTTTTTTAAACTAAATACCATAGTTTTTTTTTATAAATTTAAAGTGAAAAAAAAATAACAACAGAGAAACCTTTATAGATGTTTGATATATTTTTTGAACTAGCTACTTTCTGTAGGCTACACTAGTTACACTCAATATTTCATTTCATTGTTATTCATAAGCTAAACAAAATCAAAAGCATCTTTTAAGCCTAATACCTAGAGTAGATAAGCTTATGTGAATGGTCTTTTCTAGTTTCCTTCTTATGGTCAGTAATTTTTAATTAAGGATATTAAACAATGAATAAATAATACTTTCGTTATTTGTCTTTCAAATATATGAAATATGGTGAAGTTTATGAGGAAGGAAAATATATTAAAAACCCCAATCACATATGTTCAAAATCACTGAATCAAAATTATGACAAGTAACAAATTATGAACGTACCTTGCACTGGTTAACCTAACTGGGGGAGCTGGGGGCTTATCATCACTTGTGTCAGCCATCTCAATAACTTGACTTTTAACCTACAAGAGTCAAGAAAGGAATTTCTTGAGAAATATCATTAAATGAACAATTATCCTTTATGATATTATACAATAAAATATTTTATTGCTCTCAAAACACACTATAAGAATCAATTACTACAGCCAGAAAATTAGTGGAATTTGCTAATTAATTAATTGTTGGCTCATTAATCAATCACATTCGACTAATCTATTATTCTCAGGAGACTTGGATAGTTAGAATAATCAAAAATATTAATAACCTGAAACACTAATTTTGATTTCTCAATTATCTCCATGACAATAATAGATCTAATTATAATTTCAATTAATTGATTATCTTAGTGACACTAATTGATGCTCATATGTAATTAATTAATCGAGCAAATTACTCAGCTTTATCAATTACACCCTGCTCCCACAAAGAAAAAAATTATGAAAAACCTACTGAGAGCTTTAATTTAGAGGAAAGCTTTCACCTATTTATACAAAGCTATCATTCTATAATTATACAAGCACAAAGAAACATCCAAGTGTCTATTTTGTACTATTGTTTGGACAATGGTTAGACAGGTCAACATTCTTTCCAAAATTAGGTGACCAAAACTTTATCAGTAAAGCATTCCCAAAAATATCTAAATCAGGCTTTTATTGAACATTTATAATGCCACTGTAATATGAAAACAGAAGCTTACAGGTGATAAAGCCCAAACCACAGCCAAGTGGAAACTACAGTTGATTAATGTCAGCTGTCATCAGCTATGGTTAGGTGATTGATACATATCACTGCCCAATAAGCTGATACATGCTAAATGACTTACAAAAACTACAAAAATAATAATCTTACCTATATTCTTGAACTTAGTTTTGATCATATTTGCATGTATTTAATATGTATACACTTAAGTTCAGTTTCTCTTCTTTCTCTACATGAGTTTTATAAGATATGATTACAGAGCAAATAGGCCAAGTAATATTTACCAAAAACTGAAATGGATACATTACACACCAATAAATAAAATAATAGCTCTAAAAATGTACTTGCAACAGAAACAATAATATAAGACATATTGACAATTAAAAATTGCTGAAATGGCTTCATATTTGTACTTTCATATGGTTTCAATAAAACGTGTATTTCTATGACTAAAGGCCAACATTCATCATTGTCATCTTAGATAGTAGTGACATAAAAAAAACAAAAACGATGGCGGTAAGTGCTGCCAACCAGTTGCCTTCCCTCTACTCAGCAGTTCAAAATCAGTAACAGTGGCACTTATCCTTAGTAGCTCTGTCATAACAACGACAAGGTGAGAAAGTTTGGTGGCAATATTTTGATTATTTTGGGCACTCAAAGTGATGCACTATGACACAGAAATTGCAATAAAATATTTACTCTTTAATCATATGAGTTTTACCATTATCTTAGCAGAGTTATAGATTTCCTTAAAACTATAAGAAAGAAAACAAACTACACAATACTACTGTGTTTAAAAGACTCATTATAATTTTAATTTGCTTTCTACAACATCCTCAGCAGAATCTTTGTACATGCTCTCTCCCCCTCTCTTACACAGTTTTATATCCAATAATCTGTAATATCCCATAACCTTCAAACTTTTTCAAATTTATTTTATTGACTTTGGCTGCCATCCTTTCTATCTGTTTGACGAACGATCACAATTAATTAAAGATCTATTACTATGCTGCTTAATGCACATTCAAAAATATGTTTCCACATTTTCAGAAGTATTTTATTAATTAGGAGAGTAATGTGTGTGCATGCATGGGAAGGTTTTTAAACTTCATTAATCTATGCAAAATTGAAATTAGTAGTAGGAAGTACAAACTACACCACCATACATGTAAAGGATGGATGGGTACAGACAGCATTATGTATTTCAAAGAGAAAGGTATTTGGGAAATGGATTTATCATTCTTCAGAGCCCCCATCTCAGACAGCTGTGTTTATGTGTTAAGGTGTGCAAACTTCAACATTTGTTTATAGACACTTTAAGAGTACCGGTACTGTCACCCTGATGAATAAGGACCTGAAAGCAATATCACTGAGTTTAATGCATGCTCCCAATACCAATGTTTTGGAAGTGTCACTTGATCTGATGTCTTTTACTAGCTAAGTTGATCAATGTAATTTTTTAGCAATCCATTTGCCTCAAAGTGTCTTTTGTACTAGAGGTGTTTGTTGGGTATCACATGTTGTGGAACAGTTTTAAGCTACTTAGGTTTAATCTCACAGTCACTGAGATGTCCTACACGGCCACTGGATTTGCTCAGAACTTATATACCTAACCTCATATGCAGGTAACTTAACTATTTTAATTACTTCAGATACACAGAACTGCCTTTACTCTTTATAAACATTGTGAATTCAAATACAAAATATCATAATCAAAAAATGTTTTCCTCCTAGTTTAAAATTGTAATGTGACATGCGATTGAATATGGCCTTTCACGTGTGTGACAAACAGCAGATGTACAACTGCGTGTGTCAAATGAAAAGGACTGAATAACAGAAAACAGTAACAACTGAAAACACTAATTTTAGAATTATATGTCTGAGTAACTGTCTATGTATTTAGAGAAAACAAAACAAATTTAAATATATCCACTAGCCCTGAAATTTGTTTGTAAAGAATATGTTATTTTCTATGATGAAAGCAATATAGACTTTCTCTAGAACAAAATAAAAAATCTATATCAGGATTAAGTATATTAATAACCTTAGCAACACTAATCCAGCAGTAAACATAGGCCTGATAAGTACAGAATAATCCATATTTCTTAAATATGTTAGAAACAGATGTTCTGTAAGGAAGGCCCATAATGAGCCTCAAAACCCTCTTTTGCAACAGCCAGATAATTCTTAAACTGTGAGCCTCAAACACTTAAACAATAAATCATTTGACTATAGAAGATAACATAATAGATTTGATAAAGGATCTGATGCAGAAAAATCCTCTTACATCACATCATTATATAAACTACTCTGTCTAGGTTTTTAGAAATCATTTCAATTTGTTCATCCCATCTAAGATTATTCTGAATTATAACCCTTAGAACCTTTAATGAATCAATCCTGGATAGTGTAGTGTCATTAAACTCAAATCTTAATTGATTTGTTCTCTAGATATTATCATATATTATGACTTGCAAATATTTTAAACCTGGCAGTTGTCAAGAGGCCAGGTAGCAAAAGAAAAAAACTCATTATTGGCTATTTCAAAACAGTCAGCGAGAGTATCAGCCTCTTATAGTAAGAATCAGCCTTGAGAAATTCCAAAATAAAAACTATGGAAAAGGGACTTTATTCCATTAACTGTGGTGTAAGATTGATTATTTATCATGGAAGTTTTAAGAATATCATAAATATTATCATGGAAACCATAATGAACACATTTATAAAGTAAAACTGCATGATTTATGCTGTCATATGCCTTGGCAATATCTAGGGCACAAAACAATACAGATTTTTTGTCCTCGTAAGCCTTAATAAGCTTTGTAGTAATTGACATTAGACACTTTTCAGTAAATTTATGATTACCGAAACCAAACTGCAAATTACTTAGGGCCTTATTGTTCTGAAGAAACTTAATAATTCTATTGTACAGAATACACTCAAAAATATGAGCAAATGCAGACAAGATAGAAATAAGCTAATAATTTCCCACACAACCAGGATCACCACCCTTGTAGATGGGTACAATCTTAGCAATATGAAGAACTTTAGGAAATTTGCCAATAATAAATACTTTTTTAACAAGCACAGTTACAGGATCAATAATTGAATCGCAAGCAGATTTAACCACTGAAGGCAAAACATCATCCCATCCAGCAGATGATGCACTAGAGAGTGCCTTAATGGTTGTGCGAGTCTCACTCTCTGTCACAGGAGCAAGATAAAGAGATCGAGGTATAGGGTTATCCTGACATTTAATGTAAATGGGAGTAACACCCTGCCTGGAAAACAAATCTTTCGAAATATTAGTAAAACCAGCAGGATCAGTAACACAAGAATCTGTATTCTTACAGATACATGTAATTTACAATATAGAACTATATAATTCAATATAACTAGTCACAATAACAGAATTGAAGTTAAATTTATACTTTAGGTCAGGATGTGTATGTAACAATACCACCACCATGTCCAGAGGGTCTATGAAAAACATTTACATTACAATTTAGTAATGGGGGGCAGAGACTGAAAACACCATGATTCCAGAAATATTAACATATTAGGTTTAAAATCACAATAAAAAAAATTAAGTTATCACATCATCCATCTTATGCCTAATACCTCTAACGTTTATACATATTAAATTTTGTTGTTCATTTTTGTCTGTTTGTTTGTTTGTTGTTAAGCAAAAAATTATACAATGGGCTATTTGTGTTGTGCCTGCCATGGGTACATAAACTTGGTTATATTGTTATAAACCTTCAGACTCACCATTGAGCCACATTTATTAGTTAATGAAAAAATTACACCCTTATTTACTTGCAGCTTAAACAAATTTCAGTCTTAAAAACTTGCCAACTCACCTGGTTTCTTTTGTGTGTTATTTCCAGTAAAGTCTATTTATAAGAGAGAATATATATTTATAATTTTTTTTCATAAATTTCTTAATAATTAGTGTTCACAGAATCATTGAAAATATATCATCTAAATTTCAACATTCCTCATGTACTTGAGCTTCAATGTTCTACCATGGATATCACCAGTTCGTTCTATCTATAAAGTGATTACGATTTTTATCGTTTGAAATCAGGAGCAAACACTTCCACGAAGTCGAAAATGAACTACCCGCGGCCAAGAGGCAGTAGGTTCTCTGACGCCATTGATTATCAATTTATCTGCGTACTTTCCACGTTAGTCACTGAGACAGACACACACACACACACACATACATATATATATATACACGCACATACATTTACGTACACACAAAAGCAGCAAACACCTTACCTAAGTATAAGACATAACACTTGAATTACTGTTCTTT